AGGAGTGCGAGAAGTTAGATTGGTGTTGCGGGGCGAGGGAAATGAAATAATATACAAAATTAAATTTTCGTTTGTTTAGTAACATGGTTGTTACGGCCTACGGCTGCTCCCTTAAAGGGTCCAATCCTCTGGGGCCCATGAGCAGAAGACTTCCCGAGCAGACGTAGGTCGGGCCTCAATGTGGCCACGTGGAATCTCTCGAATTATACTAAAATATATGGGGGAGCGTTCTATACTACGGCCAGTCTAACTATTCCGCGGTTTCCGCACAAAATTAACAGCGTGCAGACATTAGCACAGCTGGCAGACGACTGCTGCGCTTGCGACCCGCGCGCCACTTGCTACGCTCGGCCGAACTTCAAACCGGTATCGCCGAGCTGCGCGCCCTCTAACGTCAATCCCGAAATCAGCGTTCGGGCGTAAACAATGGTTATGGGCAAAGACCTCGAAACCTACAGTCGTGGGCTGACTATGAGATGATGATGACTTATCTAAAAATATGTATATCTGTTTCTTCACACTTTACTTCACGTTGCCGCACACCAATATTGATCAAAAATATGCAGTGGATTAAAACCAGCGGATGTGACACTGTGACGGCGGTGTAAGAATATCCACTACCACATATCATCCCGTGGGTGTCGTAAGAGACGACATAGGGCAACAAATCAAGAGATAGGCAGCAGCGTCTTCCTAATAACAAATAAAAAATAAAATAAATTAAAAGTAAAAAAACTTTTTTAAAATAAGCTTTTATTTAAAACTTTTACTATCAACTTATAATGTCATTACACAATTTATATGATATAAAAGATTGTCGCGAGATTTAAGTTTCTACTCATTTCTACTTACTCGTATTTACTGAAGTATAGTAAAGTAATACCTTTATTTAAATCTGGTAGTACATTGGAGCCCGCTAATTTTAGACCTATTTCAATACTACCAATTCTCAGTAGAAAAAATAATTTTGGATCAATTGTTAATTTTTATAGTACAAATAAATTACTTCATAAAAACCAATTTGGTTTTACAAGGGGTCGCTCGAGGTCTGACGCCGGTGTTGAGCTTATGAAATATATTTTTAATGCCTGGGAGAATTCACAAGATGCCTTAGGTATTTTCTGTGATCTTTCCAAGGCTTTAGATTGTGTTCATCATGAGATATTAATCAGGAAACTCCAACATTACGGTGTAAAAAAATTGGTGCTTAGACTTATTACTTCATATTTAAGTAACAGAACTCAAAAAGTCGTGATCAATGGTAAAGGTTACTCCGGATCGGTAGTATCAATGGGCGTTCCTCAGGGCTCAATCCTTGGCCCATTCCTGTTCTTAATTTATATTAATGACTTACCTTATCTTGTAGGGGACAATCACGATATCGTATTATTTGCTGACGATACCTCTTTAATTTCAAACTCAAACGGCAGTCAATTAATTATGATGATGTAAATCATGCTCTATTGAAATTAGTACATTGGTTTTACGCCAACAATTTGCTCTTAAACGACAATAAAACAAAATATATTAAATTTACAATATCTAATGTAAAACATTCGAAAACCAATGTGCTTTTAAATGGGAAGGAGTTGAGTCTTGTGGATACCACTATTTTTATTGATATTACTATTGACGCGAAGCTTCAATGGGGCCTCCATATATCTAAATTAGCAAGCAGACTTAGTTCTGCACCATATGCTGTAAAAAAGATTAGAAGTCTCACAGATGTTGAGATAGCTAGATTAGTGTATTTAGTTACTTTCATAGCGTAATGTCTTATGGAATTTTGCTATAGGGTAATGCGACTAATATTGAAGCTATATTTGTTTTGCAAAAGAGAGCCGTACGGGCGATTTATAACCTAAATTGTAAAGAATCCCTCAGAGAAAAATTTAAAGAAATAAACATATTAACTTTGGCATCGCAATATATTTATGAAAATGTAATGTATGTACATTCATAGGGGGGTATTTGCCATAGTTGCCACGCTTGGCGAGCGGGTTGGCAACCGCAGTTTTTTTTTATTGTTAGTTTGTTGTTATCAAGAAGATGCTGCTGCCCATCTCCTGCCTGTTTCCCTTTGTCGCCTTTTACGACACCCACGGGAGGATATGGGGTAGTGGATATTCTTGACCGCCACTACACGGCAAAGTGTAGTGGCGGTCAAGAATGACGGTAGGCGAAGTGTAGGGCGTCCCCCCACGAGATGGAGTGACGACCTGGTAAGACATGCAGGAAGTCGATGGATGTAGGTGGCTCAGGACCGTGCTTTGTGGCATTCTTTGGGGGAGGCCTATGTTCAGCAGTGGACTTGTGAAGGGCTGTAATGATGATGATGATGAATGTATGTACATAAAAACATAAATAGCTTTAATAAGAATAAGGATGTTCGTACCTTAAACACTAGGAACAAACATAAGCTTGTAATGCCAGTTACTAGATTCCACAGAATCTGTAATTCATTTATGGGGCAATGTATACGCTTTTACAACAAAATCCCAGAACATGTTCAAAGTTTGTGAATAAACAAGTTTAAAAGTTTTATTAAAGAAAAACTGTACAAAAAGGGTTATTATAATATCAAGGACTACATGAATGATAATATAACCCATGGGAATAAGGCGATCGCCACCATGCTGTTCTATGAAAATTCATTTAAAAATTGTATATACAAAATTATTGTTAAGTGAAATGTGTATAAAAAAAAGTCCCGCTGGGTTTCTTGCTGGTTTTTCCCAGGACAGAAGTATGTTTCGAACCAGTGGTAAATAAAAAATTACTTTCAATAAGTATTATGTAATAATCAATATTGAATAAAAAATCATTATATTCTATTCTACTTAGTTTGAAAATTTTAAAAATTAAAATCAATCAATTCCTGTTTATCTACACAGGTAAATCTCGCGACAAGCTTTTATATCATATAAATTGAGTAATGATGTTATAAGTTGATAGTAAAAGTTTTAAAGGATAAGTTTATTTTATTCTTTTTAGCGCATTTAAATAAAAACTTGTCTTAAAAAAAGTTTTTTTTACTTTTTAGTTATCGCTGGACAGGTTTCTCAGTCTGATCATCTCATTCAGTTTGTTGGTTAATTTTGAACAGTCTAGCTCTTCAATAAGGAGACCTGATGATTTTACCCTACTTAAGGCCACGTATGCTTGACCAGCGGCGAAGAGCTTCGAACCTAAGTATACAACGGCATGGTCGACAGTACTACCCTGCATTTTGTGTACTGTGCAAGCCCAACATAATATAATTGGCAGTACGTGACTATATTTTACTGGAAATTGTACAGTCTTGGGTTTAATGAGATGGACACCGTCTTTATCGAAGTCTATACGGACGGATGGTATGTCAGTATCATACATTTGTGCTCTCTGGAAGCAGGGCCATATGATTTCTGTAATATGACCAATGGCACCATTCACCAGACCTTTGGACAGTCAAAGTTTACCAACCAATGCTACAGATTCGAGCAATTCGACCTCAATATCATATTCGAGCACTCCAAAAACTCCAGTACACCAACAATTTCAGACGGATTGCCATGATGTTACACCCTGATGCCACTCAGTCCTCGGCACGGCCTCATCTTGACTCGGGTGTTAGGAGGAATGCACTACTTATTTCAGCTTGAAGCTTACCTGTGTCTTACGAAACACAGTTTCAGGTTTGATTTTGGAGTTACCCTTCTTCTAGACAGGTTGCAAACCAATGCCGTTGACGCCTATCTCGCCAAATTACACAAGTCAAACCAACCGATGCTACAGACTCGAACAATTCGACCTCAATATCGTTATCGAGGACTGCAAAAACCCCAGTACACCAAAATTTCAGACGGATTGGAGCAACCGAGTTTATGACCACCATCTTATTTTTGGTTAACTCGCATTCGTATTATCAGCAAGTCCTTTCATTCGATACCCAAATTGTAGGAAAGCATAAAAAACTTAGTCCGCCATCTTTACAAGTTCGCCATATTGGATTTAGAGTGACGTCACTTTATTTCACGAGTTATACTAAGTAAGCCCTTTCATTTGATACCCATTTTGCGGGAGTGAATTAAAAATAACTAGTCCGCCATCTTGGGTGTTCCGCCATGTTGGATTTAGAATGACGTCACACAGCTAACCATGCATTATCATCCAAACTTAACGTGTATACAAAATTTCAGCTCAATCGATTGAAGATATCTGCTTCAAAATTGAAGTGCAAGATTCCACCCCAACAAACAGTTATATTGCAACTTAAATAAAACCTTGTAATATTGCCGTTCCCAATATAATAAAGTAGCTAATTCATTTCACATCTTTAATACAATAAGCATTATGATTTCTTATATTTACGCGAATACTACACATTGAATAAAACTACTTTTACGGATTCTATCGCGTTTAATAAACTTGTTTTTTATTGATATAGCTGACGTGAAACACCAACGTTCCGTGATGTCTGCAGTTTGTGATCATATCCTAGACGGCCCCCGCCATTACATTAGATTTGATAAACCATAAATTCTCGAGAAAGAACATCGATTCCTGCCAAGGATGATACGTGAGGCTATTGCAATTAACTTAATTTCAATAAAGAGATAAACTCAAGCATACCACTGCAAGACTTCAAGAGAGTAAGTTCATTCTGCGTAGATCGGACCAAAATTAATAATTGAAAAAGCTGAAGGTACTTCGGGTTAGCTCTGACATCGGGACGTCAATCACCTTTGTCCCCCGTGACCATGGGTGCTGTAAAGCACCCGAAACGTCGGGAATCAATAAAAAACAAGTTATTTAAACGCGATAGAATCCGTGAAAGTAGTTTTATTCAACAATAAGCATTGTTACTGGAATTCATTTTTAGAATCCCTCAAAATATAATCGCAACCCAAAGGAAGTTTAAGATACTGTACATAGCAAAATAATTAAAAGTAGCTTACTCGGGGCTGACTTCCGCATTGTAGTCCATCTCCGTGGTATCTTCAGACTGCGACAGCACTAATTTAAGACCCTAAAAGCATTATATTATTGGTTTATTTTGGGGTTTCAGTCGGTTGCCGTAGCTAAGGATGATATTTAGAAAAATAGTCCGTATATAAATGATTACATAACAATTATTGTGGTACTAAATTTATTTTAAGGCAGTCGATAGCAACCTTGCACACTTATTTTACTCGCAATGTGAAATATTGAAGCATTTTCCTGATAACAACTCAAGATTATAAAAAAATCGGTAGTCTGTAAAGTCGGTTTACTGTCGATAGTTGAACGTGATAACGTCATAAGAAATATTTAATATCGAAAGAATCATTACCTTTATCGCCGCAATTATCGTTGCTATAAACAATTGACACCACATTCACTTTTCACTGCACTTCGTACTTGACGAAAACATGTAAATGTATTATTGTATAGCAGCTGTCCATGCGGACATGCCGAACGCGGAGGCCGATTGTGCCTCTTTGTCGCTCGTTCCGCGCTCTCGCTTGCACTTTAAATGGAACGCCTCAGAGCGAGGTAACGCCGCATGAGTCATGTTTTTTCGTGCGTGCAGCCAGCTTCATCGAATTATAAGACGTTGTCACGTCAAAAAACTTGGATTGCCGACCCGCACACCAATAATGGTAACTATGGCATTAAGCCATTTATGGATAAGGCCTATGTTCAGCAGTAGACTTTTCAGTCTGTTGAATGGAACAACGGCAATTCACTTTTACTTGGTGGTAGGAATTTTTTTTACCTTGAAGCCTATAGGTACCATCCTGTTACCTATTTTTGATGCCGAGTAACACTGCTTACATTGTTTTTTTTATAACTGGCTTTACGGCTCTGAGTTCTAGCCCTTCTGAGCCGAGAAGTCTGAGCCGAGAAGTCTAAGTGAGAAGTTACAATGTATAATTATCTTTCATAGCACACTGCTTCACAATATGTTGATGCATCACATTGCGCAGCCCTTGGGAAGCTTTGACAGAAACTTGAGCCAGCAGACAGCTGACAGTTGGCGATGTTATCTAAAGGCGCCTAAGCAGACAGACACCTATCTTGAGAATCACATCACCATCAGAGAACTTGTTTCACCGTTGGCGCGCGCGCCCTCCTCGCTGGCCAGCGTGCGGCGCTGCATGCAGTAGTGCAGCACGCAGTGACTCTGTGACCCACCCTGCTGGCGGCGGCCCGCGTGGGCGCGTGTGCGTGCGCGAGGCGCTGCATGTAGTAGTGCAGCACGGCGCGCGCGCCCTCCTCGCTGGCCAGCGTGCGGCGCTGCATGCAGTAGTGCAGCACGCAGTGACTCTGTGACCCACCCTGCTGGCGGCGGCCCGCGTGGGCGCGTGTGCGTGCGCGAGGCGCTGCATGTAGTAGTGCAGCACGGCGCGCGCGCCCTCCTCGCTGGCCAGCGTGCGGCGCTGCATGCAGTAGTGCAGCACGCAGTGACTCTGTGACCCACCCTGCTGGCGGCGGCCCGCGTGGGCGCGTGTGCGTGCGCGAGGCGCTGCATGTAGTAGTGCAGCACGGCGCGCGCGCCCTCCTCGCTGGCCAGCGTGCGGCGCTGCATGCAGTAGTGCAGCACGCAGTGACTCTGTGACCCACCCTGCTGGCGGCGGCCCGCGTGGGCGCGTGTGCGTGCGCGAGGCGCTGCATGTAGTAGTGCAGCACGGCGCGCGCGCCCTCCTCGCTGGCCAGCGTGCGGCGCTGCATGCAGTAGTGCAGCACGCAGTGACTCTGTGACCCACCCTGCTGGCGGCGGCCCGCGTGGGCGCGTGTGCGTGCGCGAGGCGCTGCATGTAGTAGTGCAGCACGGCGCGCGCGCCCTCCTCGCTGGCCAGCGTGCGGCGCTGCATGCAGTAGTGCAGCACGCAGTGACTCTGTGACCCACCCTGCTGGCGGCGGCCCGCGTGGGCGCGTGTGCGTGCGCGAGGCGCTGCATGTAGTAGTGCAGCACGGCGCGCGCGCCCTCCTCGCTGGCCAGCGTGCGGCGCTGCATGCAGTAGTGCAGCACGCAGTGACTCTGTGACCCACCCTGCTGGCGGCGGCCCGCGTGGGCGCGTGTGCGTGCGCGAGGCGCTGCATGTAGTAGTGCAGCACGGCGCGCGCGCCCTCCTCGCTGGCCAGCGTGCGGCGCTGCATGCAGTAGTGCAGCACGCAGTGACTCTGTGACCCACCCTGCTGGCGGCGGCCCGCGTGGGCGCGTGTGCGTGCGCGAGGCGCTGCATGTAGTAGTGCAGCACGGCGCGCGCGCCCTCCTCGCTGGCCAGCGTGCGGCGCTGCATGCAGTAGTGCAGCACGCAGTGACTCTGTGACCCACCCTGCTGGCGGCGGCCCGCGTGGGCGCGTGTGCGTGCGCGAGGCGCTGCATGTAGTAGTGCAGCACGGCGCGCGCGCCCTCCTCGCTGGCCAGCGTGCGGCGCTGCATGCAGTAGTGCAGCACGCAGTGACTCTGTGACCCACCCTGCTGGCGGCGGCCCGCGTGGGCGCGTGTGCGTGCGCGAGGCGCTGCATGTAGTAGTGCAGCACGGCGCGCGCGCCCTCCTCGCTGGCCAGAGTGCGGCGCTGCATGCAGTAGTGCAGCACGCAGTGACTCTGTGACCCACCCTGCTGGCGGCGGCCCGCGTGGGCGCGTGTGCGTGCGCGAGGCGCTGCATGTAGTAGTGCAGCACGGCGCGCGCGCCCTCCTCGCTGGCCAGCGTGCGGCGCTGCATGCAGTAGTGCAGCACGCAGTGACTCTGTGACCCACCCTGCTGGCGGCGGCCCGCGTGGGCGCGTGTGCGTGCGCGAGGCGCTGCATGTAGTAGTGCAGCACGGCGCGCGCGCCCTCCTCGCTGGCCAGCGTGCGGCGCTGCATGCAGTAGTGCAGCACGCAGTGACTCTGTGACCCACCCTGCTGGCGGCGGCCCGCGTGGGCGCGTGTGCGTGCGCGAGGCGCTGCATGTAGTAGTGCAGCACGGCGCGCGCGCCCTCCTCGCTGGCCAGCGTGCGGCGCTGCATGCAGTAGTGCAGCACGCAGTGACTCTGTGACCCACCCTGCTGGCGGCGGCCCGCGTGGGCGCGTGTGCGTGCGCGAGGCGCTGCATGTAGTAGTGCAGCACGGCGCGCGCGCCCTCCTCGCTGGCCAGAGTGCGGCGCTGCATGCAGTAGTGCAGCACGCAGTGACTCTGTGACCCACCCTGCTGGCGGCGGCCCGCGTGGGCGCGTGTGCGTGCGCGAGGCGCTGCATGTAGTAGTGCAGCACGGCGCGCGCGCCCTCCTCGCTGGCCAGCGTGCGGCGCTGCATGCAGTAGTGCAGCACGCAGTGACTCTGTGACCCACCCTGCTGGCGGCGGCCCGCGTGGGCGCGTGTGCGTGCGCGAGGCGCTGCATGTAGTAGTGCAGCACGGCGCGCGCGCCCTCCTCGCTGGCCAGCGTGCGGCGCTGCATGCAGTAGTGCAGCACGCAGTGACTCTGTGACCCACCCTGCTGGCGGCGGCCCGCGTGGGCGCGTGTGCGTGCGCGAGGCGCTGCATGTAGTAGTGCAGCACGGCGCGCGCGCCCTCCTCGCTGGCCAGCGTGCGGCGCTGCATGCAGTAGTGCAGCACGCAGTGACTCTGTGACCCACCCTGCTGGCGGCGGCCCGCGTGGGCGCGTGTGCGTGCGCGAGGCGCTGCATGTAGTAGTGCAGCACGGCGCGCGCGCCCTCCTCGCTGGCCAGAGTGCGGCGCTGCATGCAGTAGTGCAGCACGCAGTGACTCTGTGACCCACCCTGCTGGCGGCGGCCCGCGTGGGCGCGTGTGCGTGCGCGAGGCGCTGCATGTAGTAGTGCAGCACGGCGCGCGCGCCCTCCTCGCTGGCCAGCGTGCGGCGCTGCATGCAGTAGTGCAGCACGCAGTGACTCTGTGACCCACCCTGCTGGCGGCGGCCCGCGTGGGCGCGTGTGCGTGCGCGAGGCGCTGCATGTAGTAGTGCAGCACGGCGCGCGCGCCCTCCTCGCTGGCCAGCGTGCGGCGCTGCATGCAGTAGTGCAGCACGCAGTGACTCTGTGACCCACCCTGCTGGCGGCGGCCCGCGTGGGCGCGTGTGCGTGCGCGAGGCGCTGCATGTAGTAGTGCAGCACGGCGCGCGCGCCCTCCTCGCTGGCCAGAGTGCGGCGCTGCATGCAGTAGTGCAGCACGCAGTGACTCTGTGACCCACCCTGCTGGCGGCGGCCCGCGTGGGCGCGTGTGCGTGCGCGAGGCGCTGCATGTAGTAGTGCAGCACGGCGCGCGCGCCCTCCTCGCTGGCCAGCGTGCGGCGCTGCATGCAGTAGTGCAGCACGCAGTGACTCTGTGACCCACCCTGCTGGCGGCGGCCCGCGTGGGCGCGTGTGCGTGCGCGAGGCGCTGCATGTAGTAGTGCAGCACGGCGCGCGCGCCCTCCTCGCTGGCCAGCGTGCGGCGCTGCATGCAGTAGTGCAGCACGCAGTGACTCTGTGACCCACCCTGCTGGCGGCGGCCCGCGTGGGCGCGTGTGCGTGCGCGAGGCGCTGCATGTAGTAGTGCAGCACGGCGCGCGCGCCCTCCTCGCTGGCCAGCGTGCGGCGCTGCATGCAGTAGTGCAGCACGCAGTGACTCTGTGACCCACCCTGCTGGCGGCGGCCCGCGTGGGCGCGTGTGCGTGCGCGAGGCGCTGCATGTAGTAGTGCAGCACGGCGCGCGCGCCCTCCTCGCTGGCCAGAGTGCGGCGCTGCATGCAGTAGTGCAGCACGCAGTGACTCTGTGACCCACCCTGCTGGCGGCGGCCCGCGTGGGCGCGTGTGCGTGCGCGAGGCGCTGCATGTAGTAGTGCAGCACGGCGCGCGCGCCCTCCTCGCTGGCCAGCGTGCGGCGCTGCATGCAGTAGTGCAGCACGCAGTGACTCTGTGACCCACCCTGCTGGCGGCGGCCCGCGTGGGCGCGTGTGCGTGCGCGAGGCGCTGCATGTAGTAGTGCAGCACGGCGCGCGCGCCCTCCTCGCTGGCCAGCGTGCGGCGCTGCATGCAGTAGTGCAGCACGCAGTGACTCTGTGACCCACCCTGCTGGCGGCGGCCCGCGTGGGCGCGTGTGCGTGCGCGAGGCGCTGCATGTAGTAGTGCAGCACGGCGCGCGCGCCCTCCTCGCTGGCCAGCGTGCGGCGCTGCATGCAGTAGTGCAGCACGCAGTGACTCTGTGACCCACCCTGCTGGCGGCGGCCCGCGTGGGCGCGTGTGCGTGCGCGAGGCGCTGCATGTAGTAGTGCAGCACGGCGCGCGCGCCCTCCTCGCTGGCCAGAGTGCGGCGCTGCATGCAGTAGTGCAGCACGCAGTGACTCTGTGACCCACCCTGCTGGCGGCGGCCCGCGTGGGCGCGTGTGCGTGCGCGAGGCGCTGCATGTAGTAGTGCAGCACGGCGCGCGCGCCCTCCTCGCTGGCCAGCGTGCGGCGCAGGTGCGCGCACAGCTCGCTCGCCTTGCCCGCCTCGCCGCCGCCGGAGCTGCCGGCACCACCACCGGCGCCACCCGCGCCGCCCGCAGACAGGAACTCGCACAGACACTGCACTGGCAGCACGCTGCAGGAAACCCAAATGTTATAACAGACAGTTTCAACGGGACGTAACTTATACTCGGAATTTTTATGGGAACATGACCGTCAGCAGATACACTTCTGAACTATCGCTTAATTTATAGTCTGAATTTAATTTTGATACATAAAAGTGGTGCAATTTTGTGTATTATCTATGCATGTGCTTAAAAATATAAACCTCAAATTGTTTTGTCCGCTGAAACCAGGGGGATGAAACTGCCGTACAAATTTAGAAGAATTAAAAATGCATTGAAAGTTCTGCCCTCTAGTGAACTAGGTAAATACACTTGTTCGCGCCAAACGCTGTTTTCGGAATCGACGTCAGAGGGCGCGCGGCTCGGTGCCATACCGGTTTGACATTCGGTCGTGCATAGAACGCGCAAGCGCAGCAGTCGCCTGCCAGCTGTGCTAACGTCCGCACGCTGTCAATTTTTGTTCGGGAACTCGGAATAATTAGGCGCGGTTAGTAAATATACTGTCTAGAATTTGTGACGCGCATTCCTTGCTGGAGAGCTTCCCAGGGACTCATTGTGTCTGACTCAGAATCTGTATAAGTGCATTCGACAATATTAGCTAAAGCGGCCTTTGATATTCTAGAAATAACTGTTGCTACGCAAAGCGGTAGTGACCTTTGATCCGGACACTCCCTGTTCGTTTTTGTGTGTCAAGCTTTATAACAACCGAGAGTTAGTGGCTTCTGTAAGTTAGTTAATAGTACGATACAGTTAATGGACTGTCATCGTGACGAACGAAGAAAGTGACTGTGGACGGCGCCGCGGAAGATTACCTCAATTTGGAGCGGTGCTGAAACCCGGGCTGCTACCGACGGCCAAGGTCTACTAAGGTCAATCACCATCAGTCACACCCAGATACACATCACAGTACCTTATTTCCCTTGAACTACACAACCACATGCGACCTGACCGACTCCGGAGGGACCAGTCGCCTTGGATATAGGTAAGTAAGCTCCGTCTAATATTCTCCCTGTTGAATGGCCGTACCACAGAACTCTCCCCCTTATTGTTTAGTGTAACTAGAGATTTTACACTTTGGCCTTAGGAGGCCCGACCTACGTCTGCTCGTCGAAACTCAGCTGAATGGGCCCCTGAGGATTTGACCTTTATGGGAGCAGCCGTAGGCCGTAACAACACTTGTAGGCTAGTTTTCTTCAGCGTTGTAGAGATGGCGTTGATTGGGCCAAAACCCCAAAGCCCAAAAAAAACTAAATCCATGGCAGGTTTGGTCTATGGTTATGGTTGACATAGATAATACACTCGGTTGACAGTTCTTTCAAATAAATACGAATATATGGATACGATAATTCAGAAAATGAAAATATTTTGCAACTTTTCGTTCCTCTCCTGTGAAAATCATAATAAGAGGCTTTATGTTTTAATTATTCTATAACTTCTAAAACATTCTCCAGAAACAGTCGCAAAGCGTTTAATGAGGGGGCGACAGTAGGAATCGATAAAAGCAGACGAAGGTTATATGACCTTTACCATGAAAGATCATATAATCTTTCCGATGCTTTTAAAGAATATGTCAATAATTGTTCTAAAATATTTAAAAGAGTTTGCTCCACAGCCAAATCGTTACATATTAGCAACTAAATTAAGACGGCTAAGAATAAAATTAAAATGACGTGGAGTATAATTCACAGCGAAACTGGTAAAGACAAACCTCGTAACTCAAACTGTCGATTAATTATGAAATTAACAATGAATTGACTAAATGAAATCAAGAAGTCGCAGCGGTGTTTGTGAAATATTTCATTGATGTTCCTATTTTGACAACAGCGTCATTAAATACTTCTCCAACAGTCGCCGACTCATTACTAAAACAGAATGTTAATAACTGTTTAAAAGTTAAAAAAAAAAACAGATATTAACATTACAAAATTTAGATTTGAAAAAGTATTACCGCAAGATATTGTAAAATAGCCAAGAGAAGATAAAATAACTAACATCAATTGACACAAGCGCAATACCTAAGCTCGAGCTGATCGTGTCGCAGCAGCTGATGCAACCAGGGCATAGCGCGCCGGGTCCCGTGACGCTCAACTAACTGCAGGAGCAGGGCAGGCTGCCGGCACAGGAGCCGTCCCAGCTTTAGCTGAGAACTCAACGCTACCAAGGCGTCCGCCACTCCACTTGGTGGTCGCCGTGCCGGACCTAAGGGCTCCAGCACTGTCAGCTGCAACAATTATTTACTATGAAAGGAATATAATTCGTTGCTTTTAAATAAAACTCAGTGTAATTGATCCAAATTATATTAAGTAATATGCAGTGTTTGGATAAAACCAATCAATTGTAGTTTGAACTAATATTACATTAGCTAAGTACTGTTCCTGAATAATATTGTAAATAACATTTCTTTTATTAATAATTACTTCTCTTTTTATTCCTATATCTCTTTGAGATTAGTAGATTGGTAAAAAATGCCTCAGGCTATGGGAAAATTGTTGATATCTTTATATATAAAAATTACGTGTCACATTGTTTGTCCGCGATGAACTATTAAACTACTGAACTGATTTCAATGAAATTTGGCTCACTGTGTGCAGTTTGGTCCAACTTGAGAGATAGGATAGTTTTTATCCCGATAAGTGACCCTCAATTTTTTTATTGCTAATTTCAGGAGTTTCTTTTTTAGGAAAGCAAATGGTCGTCGGAAAGGGCAGAACGACGTCTGCATGGTCAGCTAGTTATATAATAATTCTTTCAGCAAAACACATAATATGGTTGATATAACTAAAATTTATACTATTTTTCAAACTAAAAAGTAACTAATTAACAAAGGTTTACAATTTATAAATTACCCGGCTCGCAGAACCATGAAAGTTATTAAAATAATATAATGGTCTGAATAATTTAAAATGTCTCACAATACCTGGCTCAGCAACCGCGAGCTGTGTTCGGTAATAGGCAATTTAGCATTGCTGGCGGTAGCTAAGTGCGTCTCCAGCTGCAGAATGGACGCACGTTCAGCTTCCGCGCGTTCTGCTTCGGCAGCTGAATTATTGTTCCACTCGATGCTCGGTTTGCTAGAATTAAAAATATTACGACAATGAGATAACACAGAGCATGATTCTTATTTATATATTTATTTCTTTACTTATTTAAAACTTCACATACATACGTGGTGTATAGGCGGACTTAATGACTGTTGTATTTTCTACAAGTCGACTTTGGGGTGATGTAGAGATAGAACGAAATAGGTGTATTAAAAAAGGTAATAAAAGAATACAAAAGTTATAAAAAAAAGTCATCTTACGGTGCCTACATATTGTTGCGCGCCACTATTAATGTCTTGTACATGGCAACACTAGTTACACTAGCGCCCCCTAGTGTCGAGTAAATGAAAGTATTGCGTGCCACTATTAATGTCTTGTACATGGCAACACTAGGTACACTAGCGCCCTCTAGTGTCGAGTAGCAGAACTAGGAGAGTCAAGATCCTTCCAGAAATTTCGGGACCGATATGTACTCGAACATTCTAGATGTCGCTACAGTAGAAGATTCTGGAATCTATCTGAGGCCCTATATAAGGCCGGTATAGACCACGACCGAGGGAGTATTGAATTGGCGATACAAGAGAATACTTCGAAGCGAAATAAAGGCGAACTGTGTTTTATTATTAGTGTGATTATTGATTGTAATTAGTGTTGTGTAATTAAAGTGTCAATTTTGGTAATTCAGTCGGCAGTTTTTAATTGTCTCGAACCCGAAGCTCGTAACAATTGGTGTCAGAAGTGGGATCAAATATGCCGATTTTACCTAAAGACGACACGGAGGGTATCCGTACCCGAAGTCAACGCCAACAGGAGACGGACCAGAGACGATTTGGTAATGCAACGCCGCAAACGTCGGAGGGCCAGTTGCTAACCACGGAGGCTGGCCCGTCAGCAGCTCCTGCATCTGCAGCACCTGACTTAAGTGCTCTGATGATGATGCTGCAGGATCAGGCTCGCCGACAGGAGGAACAGGCCCGCCGACAGGAGGAACAGGCCCGCCGACAGGAGGAACAGACCCGTCGGCTGGAAGAGCAGCTGCAGCGCGGTATGGAAGAACAGATGCTCCTCAGGAAGTACCTTCACGCTACCTTCGGGAAAGAGATAAAGGAGGTGAAGGATAGGGTTGCTCAACATGACAACCGCCTGTCGGAAGCTGAAACCCGAATCGACCAAGTGAACAATCGGGTTGACAACGTGATGGCTGATGTGAAGAAAACGCTGGACGACCTCAAACTTGAGGATGGAGTTACAGCTCCCGTGGTAGCTACAACACCTTCGCTACGTGGATTCAAAGTGCCGCCGTTCGACGGGACTTCTTCCTGGTCGGCCTATAAAATCCAGTTCGAGGCTGTCATGAAAGCGAACGGCTGGAATAAAAGTCAGGCCATGACTGCTCTCACCCTAGGCCTGCGCGACCAGGCATTAACTGTTCTGGAAGCTCTCGGTAAGGAAGTGACTTACGAGCAGCTCCTTGAGGCATTGGAGGCGAGATATGGCGACGCTCACCTGGAACACGTCTTTCGTGCGCAGCTCAAAGATCGCGTGCAACGCAGTAACGAAAACCTGCAGCAGTGGGCCCTTGAGGTGGAGAAGCTGGTTCGAAAAGCGTACCAGTCTGTACCTGCGCTTATTGTAGGGAACCTGGTGCAGACATTCATCGACGGCATCCGTGACCTTGAAGTCAGAGCTGCTGTGAGGCTCGGGCACCACGAGACGCTTAAGGACGCCTTGACCCATGCACTGGAGGTGGAAGCCGTGCGGCAGGATCATCGTTCCCACCGCGTCAGGGAGGTTGCAAAAGCTAAAGTTCAGGACCGCAATAAAAGCTACAGCCCTAGGTGCTACGGCTGTGGAGAAAGGGGCCATCTTCGATCCAGCTGCCCTAAGCGAACTGTAGGAAGGGAAGGTGATCGATCTCGAGAGGGTAGTGCGGATAATAGCACCGCCCAGCAGCAGCAGGGAAACTGGCGGGTGCTGGCTGATGTTAAAAGAGCCCCAAGGATTTCGATCTCACAAACTCATGATGGGAACAGCCTAATCATCAAGGGCGAAGTCAACGGAACGCCATGTAAACTGACCATAGACACTGGAGCCTCTCGCACGGTTGTCAGTTCCCAACTTATAAGTCGGTTCCTTGGTGACTCCGCATACAACCGAGAACGCATTAATTTGGTGACAGCCACTGGTCAGCGCATACCCGTCCGTGGAGAGAAGGAGATGGAGTTGAAGCTAGGCAACATGATCTACCTGCATAATGTCATCGTGGCTGATATAATGGACGACTGCATCCTGGGCCTAGACTTTATGAGGAAGAATTGTTGTGAGATCGACGTTAAGCAAGGTGTTTTGAAATGTGGACAAGAAGAACTTTTCGTGGAAGGGGCGTTACCAGGGAATGTGTACAGCCTTAAGAAGATTGTTCTTCCGCCGAGATCGGAAACGATTGTGCCGGTTAGTCTTCCTCGGAGTCCTGGGCAAGCTCATCGTTGTGTACTCGTGGAAAGGGTAGACAATGACCTTCCATGGAAAGTGGCTCGAACCTTGGTCAGAACCGCCGACATCTCAGGAGTACGTGTGCTGAACATTTGTGATCAGGAACAGATTATAGAAAAAGGCACATTGGTTGGTACTAGTGAGGAAGTGGATTGGTTACGTCGGTGCGAATATCTATCGACCGGGACCCCCCAGCAAGGATGGACAAACGAGAGTGACCACACTCTTAGAAGACTGTCGCAGCGTTCTTTCCCCGAATGAAATGGTCAAGGCGAAGAAGTTGTTACTCAAGTACGCCAATGTTTTCTCGTCAAACGAAGCTGACATAGGAAAGACTGGCTTAGTTCAACACAAAATAAACACAGGACAAGAATTGCCTATTCGTCAGCGGCCAAGAAGATTACCTGTAGCACGTGAAAAGGAAGTGGAAACCATGATTGAGGGAATGGTGAAGGATGGTGTTATTGAACCTTTATCTAGTCCATGGTGTTCACCTGTGGTGCTGGTAAAGAAGAAGGACGGCAGCATGCGGTTTTGTGTTGACTATCGCCGCCTGAACGACGTTACAAAGAAGGACAGCTATCCCTTGCCAAGAATTGATGACACGCTGGACATGCTTACAGGCGTAAAGTGGTTTAGTACGCTAGATCTGAAAAGTGGCTACTGGCAGGTTGAAATTGACCCTAAGGACAAGGAGAAAACTGCATTCTCCACAGGAAAGGGTCTGTGGCAATTCAAAGTCATGCCGTTTGGATTGTGCAATGCTCCAGCAACGTTTGAAAGGTTGATGGAGCTTGTACTTACCGGGCTAATTGGAGATGCTTGTCTGGTCTATTTGGATGACATCATCATCGTAGGCCGTACGTTTGAGGAACACCTTCAAAACCTGGAACGCGTGCTCATGAAGATCCAGAGTGCCAACCTCAAGTTGAGTCCAAAGAAGTGCTCACTATTCAAACGGCAAGTTAGTTTTTTGGGGTATGTAGTGTCGGAAGAAGGTATCCGCACGGATCCAGAGAAAATTGCTGCTGTCAAGGAGTGGCCGGTCCCAAAAGACAAGACACAGGTTAGAGCATTTTTGGGTTTGTGCTCTTATTATCGGCGATTTGTGAAGAACTTTGCAGATATAGCCAAACCTCTGCACAAGCTAACCGAGGAGAAGCGACATTTCTGCTGGGATGAAAGTTGCGATATTGCATTCCAGGAGCTCAAGAACCGTCTGTGCAAAACACCTATTTTGGGGTACCCTGATGCGGGCAAGGAATTCATAGTTGACACAGACGCAAGTGATATAGGACTTGGCGGTGTGTTGTCTCAACGGAATGGTGATCAAGAGATTGTGATAGCGTACTTCAGCAAGTCATTGTCAAAGCCGGAAAGGAACTATTGTGTCACAAGACGGGAATTGCTTGCTGTGGTAAAGTCCTTGCAGCATTTTAGCAAATATCTTCTAGGGCGGAAATTCCACTTACGAACTGACCATGCTGCACTCAAATGGCTATTGCAGTTCAAAAATCCGGAAGGACAAGTTGCGAGATGGATTGAACTACTGCAGGAATACGACTTTGTGATCGAACATCGCAGCGGGAAATCTCATGGCAATGCAGATGCATTGTCAAGAAGACCTTGCCCTGAAGATTGCAAGCATTGTACTAGGCAAGAGGGTAAGGAAGTGGTATCTGTGAGAATGCTCAGGACAGACCAGCTCAGCAATGAGTGGAAGGACAGCCTACAACATGCACAGCAGGAAGATTCGGACATTAAGCCGATTCTGGAATGGATGAAGGCCAGTGCTCCTAAGCCCAAGTGGAGCGACGTCTCAGCAATGAGTTCGACCACGAAAAGCTATTGGGCCCAATGGGACAGCCTGCTGATTCAGGATGGAGTCCTGTGCCGTAAATGGGAAAATGGTCGGGGAGACAAATGTCATTTGCAAATGGTTGTCCCTAAGGCTAAAGTACCGGATGTTCTACAACTGTACCATAGTAGTTCTTCAGGAGGCCACCTGGGAGTTAAACGAACTCTCCTGAAGATCCGAGAACGGTTTTACTGGGTCCACTGTCGTGACGATGTCGAGGACTGGTGCCGCAAATGTACAAGTTGTGCGGCTGTAAAGGGACCTCAAATTCGTAGTAGAGGCGCATTGAAATTGTACAATGTTGGTGCACCATGGGAGAGGATAGCCATTGACGTTGCGGGGCCGTTTCCGGAAAGTGAAAGTGGTAACAAGTATTTCATGGTTGTGATGGATTACTTCACTAAGTGGCCAGAAGTCTTCGCCATTCCAAATCAAGAAGCTTCAACAGTTGCAGATAAACTAGTTCATGAAGTCTTCTGTCGTTTTGGAGTACCCTTAGAGATTCACAGCGATCAAGGAAGGAATTTCGAGTCTCAAATATTCCAGGAAACTTGCAGAGTTATGGGTACTCATAAAACACGAACAACTTCTTACCACCCACAATCTGATGGAATGGTAGAACGATTTAATCAGACATTGGAAAGGTACCTGGCAAAAGTTGTGGAAAAACGGCAACGAGACTGGGACAGGCACATACAACCGTTTTTGTTGTCATATCGAAGCGCTGTTCACGAAAGTACATCATTGACGCCAGCTTTCGCAAACTTTGGGAGAGAATTACGGCTGCCTGCAGACCTGATCACCGGAATACCACCAGATGCCCCACGCAGTATAACCGATTATGCAAATGACTTGCGGAACAAAATGAATGACATTTATGAGCACGTCAGACAGACGGGCCAGCAAACGTCTGAGAAGATGAAAACACGGTATGACCGCAAAATAAACAACAAGGGGTTTGATGAAGGTTCTCTAGTGTGGTTACACAATCCAGTTCGCAGCAAAGGGAAATCTCCTAAGCTTCAAGCTAAATGGGACGGACCGTACCGGATTGTGACAAGGATCAATGACGTAACCTACCGGATACAGAAAGGTGCCAGAGGTACTCCTAAGATTGTCCATGTAGATCGACTGGCGCGTTACTATGGGGCCAATAATGCTCGGGACGAGCATGTCTTAGGAGGGGGCAGTGTTGCGCGCCACTATTAATGTCTTGTACATGGCAACACTAGTTACACTAGCGCCCCCTAGTGTCGAGTAAATGAAAGTATTGCGTGCCACTATTAATGTCGTGTACATGGCAACACTAGGTACACTAGCGCCCTCTAGTGTCGAGTAGCAGAACTAGGAGAGTCAAGATCCTTCCAGAAATTTCGGGACCGATATGTACTCGAACATTCTAGATGTCGCTACAGTAGAAGATTCTGGAATCTATCTGAGGCCCTATATAAGGCCGGTATAGACCACGACCGAGGGAGTATTGAATTGGCGATACAAGAGAATACTTCGAAGCGAAATAAAGGCGAACTGTGTTTTATTATTAGTGTGATTTTTGATTGTAATTAGTGTTGTGTAATTAAAGTGTCAATTTTGGTAATTCGTGTGTATTGCGATACGGCCTACTAGGATGAGCACCATAGGTTGTGGGAGTGTAGGCTGTATGACCTGCGATATAAGATGATGGATGGAATAATACGCGGAAGGGTAGGTGGGTGGAGAACTTCGGCTGGTAGCGGGAGTTTACGCATAGGTGGCATGTGCGGAGGACAGCTATGGAAAGGTAACATACAAGGGTGACACTGAAAGTTCTTAGACAATCAAAAACTGAACAAACTAGAAGTTATTAGTTTTATTATATGTTTTCAAAATAGCGTACATTTACATCAACACATCGCTGCATCCGATGGAACCATTGAGAAAAGCACTTTGTCCACTCGTCCTTAGGGGCCGAGCTTCAAAATGCTGTCGAGGAGACGGCATTTTGAAACTCGGCCCCTGCTTCCTCGGCGTCCATAAAACGTTTTCCTCGAAGTTTTTCTTTTATTTTCGAAAATAAATAAAAATCGCAAGGTCGGGGCTATAGGGCGGGTGACCCAGTAATTCCACGTCTGACGTCGCCGAATAATCTATTGTTTGCTTGGCGGTGTGCGACAAGGCGTTGTCGTGGTGAAAGAGGATCCTACTGCGAGGTCGTTTCTCCCGAACTTTTTCCAAGACATGTGGCAAACAATTGTCAGTGTACCACTCTGCAGTAACTGTTTTTCGATCCTCTAAAACAATTGTTACTTAACGACCTGTCCTTCCGAAGAACGAGGCCACCATCTTTTTTCCCACGCTTCGACCTCTCTTCACTTTAGTTGACAACTCCTCGGAAGGAAACACCCAGAAGCAGAGTGTCTCTGAGTTTCAGGATCATAACAATAAATTCAGCTTTCGTCACCCGTAAGTATGTCGAACACAGAATTTGAGTTACTTCCGTTAAATCTTTGAACCATTTCATGACACCAATCAACACGACAGAGTGTTTGGGCCTCTGTCAAATTATGAGGTATTCACCGGGCACAAAGTTTCCTGGCTGCTAAATATTCATGGAGGATTTTGTGCACTTGACTCATACCGATACCTAAGCTTGTCCGAATCTAATCTTTTGTCAGTTTTTATCATACGCCGCACAACAATGATGTTATCTTCAGTCGTCGCCGTAGAAGGCCGTCCCTCACGCAGATCATCGGTGAGATTAGTGCGACCACGTTTAAACTTATTAAATCAGTTGTAAACAGTGGCACGAGATGGGGCTTCATCGTGAAAGGCCAATCGAAGTCTATAATTTTCTTGTTGACTTAAATGACATCGAATCATAAAAAATCACTGTACGAAAATTCACGCTGACATGACACAGACAATTTTCAATTTGCAGCCAAATCGTAAACAAATGACAAATTAATAAAATGCATACACAATAATATTGGCAAAGACTTCCATTTTCAAAATTTGGACATATTTTTATTATATCGTTTACAAGTGGCCAGTTCTAAAAACTTTCAGTGTCACCCTCGTGGTATACAAGATCTGTCCGGAATTGAAAGTGTTATGTGCTCGGCATGCCTAGAATGGGAGTGTGGCATATGGACAAGAAGAAGAGTAAATGATTTTTTAATAAAGTTGCTCAAAAAGTGGCGTATTGCAGGGACGTATAGCGTTCGGGATGTGGGCTATTACATACTCGAGCTTTTTCTTTACCTTTTCCGAACTCGTGCGTTCTCTTTCCCAACTGTCAAAATAATGTTTATTAAAAAGAAAAAACCAACCATGAAGGCTTTACTAAAAAAAATTCATAGAAGTTTTTATGATTCATGCAAATATTTCTAAAAAGAAGCTACTAATTTGTTTCAATATCAGATTTAATGATTTCATTCAATGAGTTAGGTTAGGTTTTATTTCATTTCATCTCATTAAATTTCATTTTATTACATATCAATAAAAAAATCTACTGAAGACTTGGCTGTATGGGCATAGTTCCCTTTTATAAAAGCTTTGAAAAAATTGACTTCGCAAAAATGATCTGTCTTAACTACTATGAAGAGCACCTCCCGCCCTCCCCCAATTGCGTGCACTATCCCCGTCACCACTAATCCCAGCACCGCTATTCTCAACACCACTACACTAGGCAAGACACACCACTGACGACAATACGACACGTGTTTCGCCTTTACACGAGGCATCCTCAGGAGATATAGACTCTACGGCGGCTAACCGCTAAAGTTCCCTTTGCCTACCCAGAATGGGTGAAGAAAACAAAAAAATCTCTGCTTATATTCTTTTACGGTTGGCGCCATTTTCCAAAAATGTTCTTTATTAAATTTCTCCGTTTTTTTCGCAACTGTATTAAAAATAGTTGTTCAGTACACATGTGGAACTGTCATTGCAACTTGTTCCGACTGTCAACCCTCACCTTCGGCTGCGCCTCGGCTCGGGTAGACATTTGTTGGAACTCTTGGCAATGACAGGCTTTCTGCACTCGTAATGAAATATACTATTGTAGATAGTCAAGAAAGTGCATGCGGGAAAGAACCTAGCGCAAGTAACTCGCGCATCTTTAGAGAGAGAGGAAGGTGGGGGTTTGTCGCCACTTACGACATCTACGGTACAACACAGTTTTATTATTCTTACATTTAAACAAATTTGAAGTTGTTTCGTATTTGTGTTGAAATGAAGTGAGGTGTTTACCCGGTGATGCACATCTCGATGAGCGCGCGCAGCGTGGGGTAGGTGGCGGCGGCGCGCTCGGCGAAGCCGTGCGGGTTGTGCGCCGCCAGCATGGCCAGCAGCAGCCAGCCGCGCCAGTACAGCCCCGTGATGGCCAGCGCCGGCGCGCTGTACCTGCACACCGCACCACACCCACACCACAACACTGCTTCACAACTCTATTACATTTCTACAATAAACACAACACATTCATTTATACATAACAGCCTATCAAGTCCATGGCTGAACCCTAAACTACCTCATAAACTCACAAAAGGGATATTTGCCATAGGCGAGTTGACAATTGTAGTTTTAGAAATGTATCCGGTGATAGACTGTTGTCATCCGCATTTGAAGTATTTGTAGGTGATGCTCTTCTTTACTGCCCGATACCAGTGAACTTTAATGATCTAGTTACTCATCTTCGTATAGACTGATGTTTTTGACTACGACTATCGAATGATACTATACACACACTACTGGCGAAGATATCTCGTAACATACATACAAAAAACATACAGTCGAAGTGTAAGTCTCCTTTTTTTAAGTCGGCAAACACTGTGTTGGTTGTAAGTATAATGCCATCAAAAACATAACTTGTAAAAAAAAAAACCAAGTCTCGCAACTCAGTTCTTCTACCGTAAAAAGTTGTGAGATCCATTTAATACCAAGTCGATTAATTTATTCAGTCACTACTTAAAGGTCCTTCTGTGTTAAGTTATTACGTAAATAGCTAACCTAACAACATCTTATAGTGATCACATCAATACTAAAAATCTTTTATATTTTAAATTAATAGATTGACTTGGCCATCGCATGAAAACACAATGTATCTTTCAAGTAATACATTTTATATTAAATTAGATTGTTTAGTGCGATTGCCAAGTCAATTTATTTATTTAAAACATAAAAGATTTTTAATATTGATATGGTCACTATAAGATGTTGTTAAGTTAGCTAATTACGTAATAACTTAAAACAAAAGGACTCTTAAGTAGTGACTGAATAAATTAACCGACTTGGTATTAAATGGATCTCAAAACTTTTTACGGTAGAAGAACTGAGTTGTGAGACTTGGTTTTTTTTTACAAGTTATGTTTTTAACGGCATCTCATTTCCACCTATTATTCCATTATATTATACGAGATATGTATAGGTACACTGATTCATTCACTGCAAATGTAACTTTGTAATTCTATATATTTATATAGGACTACGAAGTTATTTATGCAGTTGGTGTATCTCGAAAACTGGACCGTACGAATTGTAGTTGTAGTACGAATTGTAGTTGTAGTACGAATGGGTCGGCTCGACCGGGGAAGGACCACGCTCTCACAGAATACAAGCGTAAAATAGCAGATAGCAGAGAACCGGAGACCTTTTTTTACTGGAAAAGAGGCATTCCATCTTAGTCCTCAAGGGTGACAACGCATCTGCATTTTGATTGTCAAACAAGGATAGATGTAGATATCTATGGGCCGCAGCAACCACTTACCATCAGGTGGACTGTGTGCTCGTTTGTCACACCAATCCTATAAAAAAAGTGAGATTATACTTAACTGGAACATTCCTTATCGTTATATTGTATCATTCGGTTTATACATCACAGTTCAAAACAAATAAGTGTTTACCCAGCGGGGAGTGTAATGTTGTCAGGCGGGTGAAACTGGCACAGTTGGAAGATATAGTCCGCGATCTCGAGCTTGTCGACCTGAAGCGGCATGTCCTCAGCAGGAAGCGCACAAGCGCGCCGCACTAACTGTTCTATCAGCTCGAAAACCTCCGCCGGCGATACTGGAATGTCCTGTATAATACAAGATACATTTAAAAACTACAGATTGAAGCTTTTACATTACACTTTTATATAAGATAGATTTAAAAACTATTTTTCTGTGGCAACAACGCGCCGGGTAACAGCAGAGAATATACACCCACGGGATGTGTGTAAGAGACGAATATACGAATTGCCAGAATGGCTTACGATATATGGTGGTATAACCATACAATTACGTCACAATTAAAAAAAACAGAATGGCGATGAAAACGAGCATCAAATGTACAAGACGTGTGGTACTGCGATCGCAAATTCACCGGCGCGTCTATCTTACAATTTATGATGGATGGAGGATGGCTACACTATTGCAAATAGTTATTCAAGGCTTGACGTAAAACGAGGTAGTGTATGCATACTTTGTAAAAATAATTTTAACTTTGCAGATCTTACAATAATTAATAAATATCAAGCAGAAAACACTTTTGTGGTATCATTTTGCCAGACCAGCGCTGTTGTGTTATCTGCATCTATAGAATACCTAAGTCCAATGTAACAGACTTTTTAAATAAATTTCAAGACATGCTTTATAATATTTGTAACAGATATAATGACTTTAAAATAATTATAGCCGGAGATTTTAATATAGACACACTTAAGTGCACACCAGCTTCTGAATTCTACTAAGACATTTTACTAAACAATAACCTACCAGACAGAAAACTTGTATAGATTATATTATAAGCAATGACCCAGAAGCCGAAGGTAAAATATATGAATTGGGGTTATCTGACCATAACACGGGTCAAACGCTTAGTATAAAATTTCCTTATAAATATAAAACTTACATAAATACATATTGGATACTTAGAAGAGACTATAGCACTGACAATACGAGAAAATTTAAAGAAATAATGAAGCAACTGACATTTAATGACATATATGACGAATCACCGCTACATAAAAAGGATGATAAATGCGACATAAATAATTATCGACCAATTATTTTAGTACCTATACTGTCTAAAATCTTTGAAAAATTATGTATTCTAGAATATACGACTATCTAACAAAATTTGACATTCTAAAAGTAGAGCAAAATGGATTTCAAAGAAATAAATCGACCACATTAGCAGCCTATTCATTGGTTACCGAAATAATTAATTGTATTGACAAAGGTCACCTAGTATCTGCAGTATTTTTTTGATATGAGTAAAGCTTTTGATGTAGTGTGTCATGATATCTTAATTGATAAGCTGTACTGCTATGGCATTCGGGGCCCAGCATTACAGTGGATAAAATCTTATCCAAGCGATAGATAACAACGTGTTGAAATAAATGATATAGACGTTAATAATGTAATGACATCGTACAGATTCAAATATAAACACAATCGTAGTGGAGTCCCGCAAGGGAGTGTCCTGGGGCCTCTTCTCTTTTTGCTTTACGTGAATGACCTACCTGATTTTATCAATTGCAAGTCTGTACTTTTTGCTGACGATATTTCAATCATAATAAGTACTGACACTAAATCCAATTACAATGATAAAATAATGACAGCTGTTATAAGTGTCACAGATTGGCTATACAAGAATAGACTCGAAGTAAATTTAGGCAAAACAAAAATAATACAATTTAACCTAAGGAAATATAAAGAAACTATTGACATTAATTAAAATGGACAAAAACTAGAGGGGGTTCAAAATACAAAATTCTTGGGGATACATATTGATGATGGTTGTACTTGGCAAAGATATATTAAAGAAGTATGTACAAAAATCAATAAGTTCATTTACCCATTACGAAGATTGTCAAGGACTTCATCTCAAAAAACTGCTTTACTCGCCTATCATGGCTATATAGATTCCGTTTTGAGATATGGCGTAATACTCTGGGGAAATGGATCTACAGTGAACAAAGCTTTTATTGCTCAAAAAAGTGTGTAAGGGCAATCTGCAGGGTTAGTCCATTATATTCTTGTAGAGCACTTTTTCCAACCCTAAAAATTGTAACACTTCCTAGCATTTATATTTTCGAATTGGGTGTCTTGATCAAAAAACATAAACAGTTTTTTTACAAAAAATAGTGATGTTGTTAGTTTTAATACAAGGTATAAGGATAAACTAGTTCTTCCATTTAGAAAGAAGGCAACCTCTCATAAGAGCTGTTCCTCGATGGTGTGTTGTTGGATGTGTTTAACAAACTGCCTATCGACATAATGTCATTGCTTCTTAGTAAATTTAAAAGCAAACTTTTTATGTGGTTAGTGGACAGGGCTTTCTATAATATTAAGGAGTTTTAATTACAAATAAATTCACTTGACCATGAATATAATGTTTGTAATGTATTATGATTTTAAATATGACTACTATAATAATAAAAATAATTGTACTGTTTAAATAATAACTAATTTTAATTCAATTTCATTCAATTCGATCTGTTTGTAATGAATTATGATTTTAAATATGAATACTATAATAATAATAATTGTACTGTTTAAATAATAACTAATTTAAATTCAATTGATCATATATTTAAATATTTGCACGTCCTAACAGGACAAAACATGTTGATCTTTTATTTAATGTAACAACTTATTTACCGTGTTTTATGCAAATATATGATTCTTGATTAGCAATTATCTTACAACATGAGAATTTCAGAAGTGCACTTTTTCAGGCTGATGAAGGAGAATGATAAAAGAAAAAAAAATAACATTGTTAAAAGTTTGGTAGCGAAAGAAATTCAGGCTGTACCCGCTTCTTACCATTGCAATCCGGAGTTTCCTGTTTTTAAGTCACTATAGCAGAGAATAAGGGACAATGACCTTATTGTTACTAAAGCCGACAAGGGCAATACTGTTGTTATATGGATAATAGCGGGTATAGCCAGAAGGTTAACGATGTTATCCAAGGTGATGACTTTGAACTTTTGGAGTCTGACCCCACCAAAACGTTTACTTCGGATATTAAAGTATGTATACAACAGTCATCATATGGTTTTCCCGACCACAACGTGTCTCGCAGCAGTCTTGTTCCAATGAATCCTCAAACACCCATTTTATTTGGGTTACCTAAAATACATAAAGAACAGGTTCCTATTCGTCCAGTTGTATCATATATAGGTGCACCAGCTTATTTCCTTGCTAAAAAGTTAAACTTCCTTCTGCGGGAGAAATCTGGATTCAAACCAACTTACAGCCTTAAAAATAGTTTAGATCTCATTTCCAAGATTAAAGATATTCGTATTCCACCTAAATCCATGTTGTTATCTTTAGACGTTGATAGTCTTTTCACAAATGTCCCATCCATCCCATTAATAAACGTCGTCTACATCCCGGGGAAACAAATGATGTTCTAAAGTTAACCTCTCTGTGTACGAAACAAAACTATTTCCGGTTTAATAACCACTTTTATCTACAAAAAGAAGGGCTAGCCATGGGTTCCCCTCTTAGCCCTCTTATGGCGGACATTTTTATGGATAATTTTGAAAAACAACACATAGTTGTCAATCAAAATATCTTATACTATTATCGATATGTAGACGACATAATTATTTGCTGGACTGGCACAAAGAGGCAACTGGATGTTTTCCTTAATAAAATTAATAAAATCCACGAAAAAATTAAATTTAAGCTTTAATTGGAACAAGATTGTGTCCTTAACTTCCTCGACTTAACAATAACAAGGAAAAAGTCGTTACATGAATTTCAAATTTATCGAAAGCCAACTCATACCGACACGGTCATTCCTGCGTCATCATGTCATCCGTGGCAACATAAATTAGCCGCTTTTTATTGTTATATTAATCGTTTGTTTACTGTGCCATTAAGTAAAGAAAATTATTTAAAGGAGCTTAATGTGATTTTTCAAATTGCGGTCTCTAACGGTTATTCAAAGAATATCATTGACAATGTAATAAAAAAGAAACAAAAACTTGTCGTACGCAATTATCTGTACGCGGTTAAACCTCAAAGTGATCGTCGATATGTTGGCAGTTTGACCTACTTAGGTTCCATATCTGAAAAAATAGCTAATACTCTTCGACAGAGTGGAGTGTACGTGGCATTCAAAACAAACAATTCACTTAGGAATATCTGTAATTATAAAGTTAGATATTCGTCTAAAGTCTGGTGTTTATAAACTTGTTTGTGACGAATGCCAAGCCGTTTACGTGGGTCAGACTGGTCGCAACTTCGAAACACGTTATAAAGAGCATTTAGCCGCGTACAGAAATTGAACCACCAATTGGAAGAAGGAAATAAATCCATAAAATTAAGAATGGAGATAATTTAAAAAAAAAAACATTTTATTTCCTTTTCGTCTATGTGAGATTGTGTCTTCGGTTTATGTGACATATGAAAGACTTGAAGAGAATATTAATTCTGATTATTTTCAAATAAGTCTGACAGATATATGTTAATATTAGTCGAGTTAATTAAATGGAAACTTCTTGGATTTATTTCCTTCTTCCAATTTATTATGTACTGCCATGTAATAATAATTCAAACAATAGACAAAATATAACAAAAAATGTTTATTTGTTAGAAATATTGAAAGAATTAATTAAGACTCTTTTAATATTCATCTATTTCAGCAGTTTCGTATGTTGAAGTAGGCCAAGTCATAATAATATCGTAAAAATATTAAAATTCGTCGGGTATATATTGAGTTATTTTTCGTACATTTCGTACGTTTTTTGTAATAATTTTTGGGTACTGTACATATGCGGTAGTTTTTGGTATTTATGGGTTAGTAGAAGTTTTCTGAAGTACAAATGTAGCTGAAACGAATCCATCGATAAATTCAGAACATGTCCAGTAACCTTTATGACTGGAAACTCAAAGCTTCTGTATTGCGAAATTTTGAATTTGGTTGTCTTGTCTAGTGACTTGCAGGTTCTTTTATAGTACTTCTGCCATGAATTTTTAAAATCTAGTATGTTTCCTGAAGTTATGTCTACAACTGAAAAGCCCCTACTTTTTGCAGTCAAAATAAGACTATTATACTCATTTGGAAAGTAAATCCTGTCTTTTCTCTTAATATGTCTTTTAGCAGTCCCAAAATGTCTATCATACTGTAAAGAGGAATGTTCACGCACCGGAAAGTATTGATATACCTTTTTAAAACGATTGATTGCAACAAGGATAAGAAAAAATCTTATGAGGGTGTTATTCCTATGTTGTCCCCCGCAAGCATCGCTAAAAACGTGTGTTCTTTGACAGAGGGATCCATATTCTGTATCGTTTTCCATAACAAACTACACACTTCATCCAGGCCTAGTTTAGCTTCACCCTCAAGGTAAGTGTAGAAATCCGTTGAATTAGGTTTTAAGTCATTATATAAAATACATAAAGCCACAATTTTCTCTGGGAACTGGGATCTTAGGCAGTGGCAGATTTTGCATATAATCAAATACAATGGCTCCAATATCTTTTTTTTCCTGACACAAGCCAAAAATTTCTTTTTGTTTATCATAAATAAAGTTTTTAGCACGTCTAAGGCGTATCATTTTTTCTGCAACTGCCACTCTCTTCGCATTTTCATTAAGCGATGGACTTTTTATTTTTGCTTCGAGTTGCTCACTAGTCGAGCAAACGTCAACTTGTGGCCGACCAAGTTAGTAGTAGCCATGATTATCATTAAAATATTTTCTATAAAGTCGTATTTTATGTATTGATATTGAGGGTATTTTTTCCAAAAGAGTTCATGTATTATTTTGACGTTCAGGTTTGCTTCTAAATACTGCACATGTTTACTGCTGTAATGTTTGTTGTTTAAGGAGAAACGATCTAATACGTTCAACAATAGCAACATTTGCTTCGTTTGGTAAGACATTACCTCGATTACAATGATGACCACGTTAATCTTCAGGCAGTTTTCCCTCCGATAAAGTTAAGTTTAATTTTTATTGACGTAACAATTGGAAGAAGGAAATATAAGACGGATTTGTTCCCTTCTTCCGACTAAAATTTTTTTGATCGCATGAATGTATATGGATTGAAGATATTTTATTCCTTTTTTCGAACTCACAGTGTAGCGCTACGTTTAAAGATTGTAAAACTGTAAAAAAGTGCATACGTGAAAAAGTGGCGTTTATTTCCTTTTTCCAATTGGTGGTTCAATTGTAACCTCGATAAATCACATTTTGCTAAACATCTCTTAGACACTGGACACAGCCTAGCCAATGACCACTCCTTTAAAGTCTTACATACTTGTAATAAAGGGCTACGACTGTGTGTGCTGGAACAGTTAGAGATATTAAAAATAATAACGGTAATGTTGCACTGCTGAAGGAACAAACAAATGTTTCCAACTCGCCTCTCTTAAACATGTTTAAGCCTGCTCCTTGATGATAATAGCCTCGCAACATGGTCGTTTGTCTCCCTCACGGTGCGGTGGTCAGCGTTTGGTTGCGTGGTTGTAGGGTAGGCGGACGTTTCGCAGTAGTTTGTTGTTAATTTCACAGCAAATATCGGCGTACGTCAGGCGGTGATTGATCGCATGACGTAATCGCTCGCTACGCAATTCGAGCGCGGTTGCGTCAGCAAGTAGTATAAATAGCAGTAGTTTTGGCTCGCCGCTCACTTAGCGGCCAGCCTCCGCAGAGTCTACTTCACCTGAGGATGCCTCATGTAGAGGCGAAGCACGTGTCGTATTTTCGGGAGTGGTGTGTCGTGCTTAGTGTGGTGGTGCTGCTGGGATTAACGGCGACGGGTATAGTGCGCGCGATTGAGGGAGGGTGGGAGGTCCCTTTAAGACTGGGCAGGGCACATCATTTTCTTTCTTTACGCGGAATTAAGCAAATTAGTTTATAACAACCTCAATTAAATAACTGTTTTTTTTTTGGCCCGACTCGGGATTCTAACCCGTCCCGGGTTCATGATCATCAGTCGCACTACTACAACCACCAGACCAACGAGGCAGTTATTAAAGATAATAAATTTAAAATCATTATTTAGCCTATTGATTTACTTTGGAAAGTCCTATGAATATGAGTCGCAGAAGTGTGTTCTGCGGCAATGGCGTCTCGCAGCACAGGCGATATGTGAGCGCACGTTCAGATTCCGGAGGCCAGTTGTCCGGCTTGCTGTACGTCTCCGCCGGCTCCACGAACATTATCTGCAACATACAGCGACGTAGTAGTTGAATCTTCAGTTTATTTTACTAACCGGGTCCTCATACTTTATAAAGTTTCAAACCAATTTATAATTTTTATTGATTTATGCAGTGTTAATAACATCGCTGATTACAGTGTAGTGCTTAACGACCCGTTGTACAATGCGTGAAAAAATATATAAAACTAAATACTGGTCTGTGAACTCGTGAGACACTAGACGTTGTTTCGTTTAAGTCGAGTTTAGTAAAATTATTTTTTAACCGACTTCAAAAAGGAGGATATATTGATTTTATCTAGGTGAACCGATTTCGATGTTTCTTTTTTATTAGAAAGCTGGTGCATGTGTGCATACAGTCTCATATAAATTTGATCAAGGTCTGACCAGTAGTTTTTGAGTTATCCTTAATAATTTATATTCAAGTCGGTTTTACAAAATTTTTAATTTTGCTACTTGTTTTCTATAAAAAACAGTTTTTACATTTCTTTTTAACAAATGAAAACTAATGGAAAAAGGGACATTTCTGGAATATACGAATCGAGTATAAGACATTGACTTCACCACAGCAACATTCGTTTAATTGAAGCTCGAGCAGCAGTGTTCGCTTATAGAGAACTCGCTTGTTTGTTTATTTGTTCCTTTGTTGAAGTGGGAGCTTTCGATAGATTCACAAGTAAGTGTAAGTGATTACATCAACTCATTTCATCCTGCAGTGTCCAGCAGCCAGGCGAGCGCGTGCTGCTGCAGCGCACACAGCTGCGACAGAGATAGGCGAGAGCGAGAGCGCGGCGGTACCTTGTTGAGCGCGAGCTGGTAGTCGTGGCGCGCGGGCCGGTAGACGGATGCGGCGGTGTCCAGCAGCCAGGCGAGCGCGTGCTGCTGCAGCGAGCACAGCTGCGAGCGCAACTCGGTGGGCGCCTGCTGCCGGCCCAGCGCCGCAGTCACCAGACAGCAGCAGCAAAACAGGTCCGCCAGCGCCTGGAACGCGCGTTCACGCACCTAAACGTGCAAATAAATATCTTAAGTCGGCGCCACACAAATAACTACTAATTCGCGCATTTGTATGTAACATGTAATAACATAAATAGACACGATAGCTCAGATAGATCTTAAGCGCTCGCTTTAAATTTTACAGACCGTAAGCAATTCTCCTGTGAGACAACCTATAGGGGAGGCCCATGTTCAACAGTGGACTTAAATAGGCTGTAACGGTAACGAAAGAATTTATGGTTCCACCGGCACCCATAAAACTCTAATTTAAGTGCTGATTTAACCGCACTGATTGGTAGTGAAGGAAGACATCGTAAGAAAATCTGCAAAATGAAACATGTACGTCCGCCAACACTCTTGGAAGCAGTGCGACGGATAAATGATCTATAAACGTCTGAAAAATATGAGAAGGCTTGTGCCGATAATAGTAAAATATATGTATACCGAGTGACGATGAAGTTATCACATTACATGGAAAGACCTATTCTACATATATTTCCTTAAACATACACAACTAAAAAAATATATAATAATTAATAATTTAGTCACCGTAGCATTTTTTTCCTTTTAATATTAAATAACATCATGTAAATGTATACAGATATCACCTGATGAATACTAGAAGGTCAAAGACCCATGGTATTTGAAGGCGAATATACCTAGTTTAAACGTTGCCAATTCAAAATACTCAAATAAAGAAAAAAATAAGCAAAAAATGTACTTACGGCTAACAATTTAAAGCGTTATTTTATACGCGAAATTAAATACAAAGGAACCACGCGCTGCGGGTGTGTGAAAACAAATACAAGCGAAAAATTTACTTAAAACAAAGGACGTAAGGCATAATTCTCTATGCGCGAAGTGACAAGAAATGGGACGGAGTGTCGAAAGTCATATTTACCTCTGGTGCGTGCAATCGATAGTCCTACGCCGGCGTCCTTGAGGATGGTTCATGAGTCGCTTGACCTAATTTTCGTTATTCGCGTACACGTCCTTTAAGTTTTAATTGTTGTTTTTTTTTTGGTTTTTTGGACATTTTAATAAGTTTCTTAATTTGTTTGTGATAGGACACGATAATAATACGCTAGATTAGATATTTAATAACTTAGTGGTGTGACAGCCCGTGCGCAATTGCACGATTTTATTTTTTTAACGTCTCAACTTTTTCCTTAATTTTAACATGCTTTGTATAACAATTTCACGTCGTCAGAATGTGTGTGCATGTGCGTATGGGTGTTTGTGTGTGTGTGTGCATGTGCGCACGTGTGTGCTCGTGTGTGTGTTTGTGTGTGTGTGTGTGTGTATGTATGTATGTGCGTGCATGTGTGTGTGTGATCGTGCGTGTGTGTGTGTGCGTGCGAGCGTGTGTGTGCGTGTGTACGTGCGTGTGTGTGTGCATGTGTTTGCGAGTGTGCGTGCTTGTGTGCGTGCATGCGTGTGTGCGTGTGCATGAGTGCGTGCGTGAGTGTGTGCGTGCGTTGAGCGAGCGTGTGTGCTGCGTGTGCGTGCGTGCGTGCTTGCGTGCGTGCGAGCGTGCGTGTGCGTGTGTGTGTATGTGTGTGTGTGTGTGTGTGTGTGTGTGTGTGTGTGTGTGTGTGTGTGTGTGTGCGTGCGTCGGGAGCACGTCGGGGGCGCAGCGAGAGCGCCGGCCTCCGGCAGCAGTGCCTGCGTCTCAGCCGCAGCGTGTGCGCATGTGTACGTTCGTATGTGTGTGCAGGCGCGTACCTCCGGCGGCGGGTCGTGCGGCGGGGGCGCGGCGAGCGCGGCGGCCAGCGGCAGCAGCGTGTGCTTGTGTGTATGAGCGTGTGTACGATACGTGTGTGTGCAGGTGCGTACCTCCGGCGGCGGGTCGTGCGGCGGGGGCGCGGCGAGCGCGGCGGCCAGCGGCAGCAGCGTGTGCTTGTGTGTATGAGCGTGTGTACGATACGTGTGTGTGCAGGTGCGTACCTCCGGCGGCGGGTCGTGCGGCGGGGGCGCGGCGAGCGCGGCGGCCAGCGGCAGCAGCGTGTGCTTGTGTGTATGAGCGTGTGTACGATACGTGTGTGTGCAGGTGCGTACCTCCGGCGGCGGGTCGTGCGGCGGGGGCGCGGCGAGCGCGGCGGCCAGCGGCAGCAGCGTGTGCTTGTGTGTATGAGCGTGTGTACGATACGTGTGTGTGCAGGTGCGTACCTCCGGCGGCGGGTCGTGCGGCGGGGGCGCGGCGAGCGCGGCGGCCAGCGGCAGCAGCGTGTGCTTGTGTGTATGAGCGTGTGTACGATACGTGTGTGTGCAGGTGCGTACCTCCGGCGGCGGGTCGTGCGGCGGGGGCGCGGCGAGCGCGGCGGCCAGCGGCAGCAGCGTGTGCTTGTGTGTATGAGCGTGTGTACGATACGTGTGTGTGCAGGTGCGTACCTCCGGCGGCGGGTCGTGCGGCGGGGGCGCGGCGAGCGCGGCGGCCAGCGGCAGCAGCGTGTGCTTGTGTGTATGAGCGTGTGTACGATACGTGTGTGTGCAGGTGCGTACCTCCGGCGGCGGGTCGTGCGGCGGGGGCGCGGCGAGCGCGGCGGCCAGCGGCAGCAGCGTGTGCTTGTGTGTATGAGCGTGTGTACGATACGTGTGTGTGCAGGTGCGTACCTCCGGCGGCGGGTCGTGCGGCGGGGGCGCGGCGAGCGCGGCGGCCAGCGGCAGCAGCGTGTGCTTGTGTGTATGAGCGTGTGTACGATACGTGTGTGTGCAGGTGCGTACCTCCGGCGGCGGGTCGTGCGGCGGGGGCGCGGCGAGCGCGGCGGCCAGCGGCAGCAGCGTGTGCTTGTGTGTATGAGCGTGTGTACGATACGTGTGTGTGCAGGTGCGTACCTCCGGCGGCGGGTCGTGCGGCGGGGGCGCGGCGAGCGCGGCGGCCAGCGGCAGCAGCGTGTGCTTGTGTGTATGAGCGTGTGTACGATACGTGTGTGTGCAGGTGCGTACCTCCGGCGGCGGGTCGTGCGGCGGGGGCGCGGCGAGCGCGGCGGCCAGCGGCAGCAGCGTGTGCTTGTGTGTATGAGCGTGTGTACGATACGTGTGTGTGCAGGTGCGTACCTCCGGCGGCGGGTCGTGCGGCGGGGGCGCGGCGAGCGCGGCGGCCAGCGGCAGCAGCGCCTGCGTCTCGGCGCGCGCAGCTCGCACGCACTCGCGCAGCATGGCGCGCATCGGACGCAGATAGTCCTCCGCGCGGAACAGGAGCTCCTACGCACAACGTACTACATTACACTCTTATACAGGAGAGGGCGACCAACGAGCATACAGTCCACTTGATGGTAAGAGGATGCTATGGTCCATATGGTCTTTATATTACGTAATGGTGGAAGTACATTATTCCAGGAGTACTGCATATTTGTAACTACCTCTGAAGGCCAAGGAACAAAGCCGTGGGGACACTTAATATGCGAGAAGATACACGCATAAGTTACTAGTTGGTTTCCTGACCCCAATCTTGTTTACAGTGCAGATACTTTGGATTTCTTGTTTTAATTAAAGTAAAAATAAATAAATTTGTACCGTATAGTGGCGGTATAAGAATATCCACTACCCATATCATCCCGTGGGTGTCGTAAGCGGCGACAGAGGGAAACAATACAGAGAATGGGCAGCATTCCTAATAACGACTAAAAAAATGCAGTTGCTAACCCGCATGCCAAGCGTGACAACTATGGCAAATATCCACCCTATGACGCAATCTATGGGGGAGGCCTATGTGCGGCAGTGGACTTTAATAGGCTGTAATGAATAACGGTTGCTTATATTAGGTCCTTACATATTAAATTAGCGTTTTGTCGTACTGACCACTTTAATCTGAAATATCTTTTCTTTGGTTAAGAATTCCAAATTCAAATTTATATATTCATTTAGCTGGTACTTTTGAGTATTGAAAACAGTCATTCATTTGTTTTTTTCTCATAATTTTTTTCTTTGGCATCGCTTGTTACCGCACAATGGAAAACATGAAATATCGGTATATTTGCGAGTACGAGTTCTACCATGGCACCAGTGCTGCAGTAACAGCTTGAAGGATTAATGATGTGTACGGCGCTGGTGTCGCAAAAGAAAGCACGGTACGTTTTTGGTTTCAACGTTTTCATTCTGGAAATTTCGACCTTCAGAAACAACCCCGTGGACGGCCGGAGACCAAAGTGAAAAATGAAGAATTAAAGTCTGTTGTGGAATCGGATCCATCACAAAGCAATTCAGAGATAGCTGCAGGTTTCAGGGTAAGTGATAAAACTGTATTAATCCACTTGAAGCAAATCGGGAAAGTAAAAAAACTTGAATGATGGGTACCTCATGAATTGAGTGAATCGAACTTGCAAACACGCGTCGACTGCTGTGTTACTTTTTCGGTTGACGACACAATAATGAAGGGATTTTAAATCGAATCATTACTTGTGATGGAAAGTGGATACTGTACACTACTGTGAAAAAGTTACTTGTGAGTGTTTGGTGGACTAGCGCCGGTGTCGTTCACTACAGCTTTCTAAAATCTGCCCAAACGATTACGGCAGATATCTATTATCAGAAACTGCAAACCACGAAGGAAGAACTAGCTGCTAAACAACCGAGATTGGTCAATCGCTCTAGGCCACTGCTGTTTCACGAGAACGCAAGACCACACACTGCACAACAAACAACCACTAATTTAGAGGAGCTACAATTGGTGTTTAGGCCTAATCTTAAACACATTAAAACTTGCATTCAAAACCGGTTTGACGCCTTGGGTCGGCCGGCGCTCGTTTTGCACGCGGCGGCTACGCCTTACCCAGTCTAGAAGAATAAATCGTCCGCGTAGCCGTGTCGGTTAAAAGGATTCTAGTTACGCTACCATCGTTAGATCGCGTGCCTCTTATTGTGTTGTCTTATTTCGTTCGTATAAGTGATAACGAGGCTTATCCTTGAGTTTTGAGTTATTAATTTAACTTCGATTGCCATTAATTTGCGTCGACGAGTAGTTTGTGTGGCATTTAATATCGTAATAAGACATTTTTGCTTTGTCGGTTGGAACGCTAAAACTTTTTGATAATTATATAGAATTTATATATGAAATGAAAGGTAATTTAATTTAGAATACAATTTTATTTACATTATTCAAAATGACCTCCCCTATTTTGAATACATGCCCTTAATCGACGCGGTCAATCATAAATCGCAGCACGCACCACACTCATATCTATTACTGCCGCTGCTTTAGCCAAAGATGCTCGGAGAGACTCCAAATTCTGATGAGGTTTGGCGCAGACTTTCTCCTCCTAACGTTGCCATATCTTATAATCCAGTGGTCTTAAATCTGGACTAGAAGAGGGCCAGTCTTCATGTCCGATAAAGTCCATGGGCGGTCAACCAGTTTTGCGTGCTTCGTGCCCTATGAGCTGGTGCAGAGTCCTGTTGGAATATCCAATGTCTATTTTTGAACATTGTTTGAGAAAGAGGTTCCATTATGTTTGTTAGGACGGTAATTTGGTACATCTCGGCACTGGTTTTTACAACTTTTTCATAGAAAAACACCTCAGTTAAGCCTGAATATGAGACTCCAAGCTAAACCATGAGTAACGAAGGATAATGTGCTCGTTGAACACTCGGATTACGCGTGCTGGCTTGTTCACTGCTGTGGGCATACACCTTATTATTTTGTTTATTATAACTTTCTTCGATGTTAAATATTTTTTCACCGGAAAACAAAATTTCGCGGTATTTTTTCCCGCATACCGCCGTAACAAAGCGCAGGATCTATCCAGCCTAATTTTTTTCAAACGCTCGTTCAAAAAATGTCCGGTCTTCTTACGATAAGCTCGTAGTCCTAGTGCTTCATTGATAACTCTTTTGACTGTGTTTCTGCTAAGGCCCATCTGAAGAGCTTAGATTTTTTGTTTACGAACAGAATTTCGTTGGATTCTCGCCTTCACTATTTTGATGATCGCGGGTGTCCTACCGGTACGAGTTCAGCCGGTCCTCTTACGATCGTCGAAGCTTGAATCTTCAGTGAATCGCTTGATAGTGCGATAAACAAGTCGTAGGTTTAGTTTCAATTTTTGTAGAATATTGAAAATCTCTTTTGTCGCGTAACCACAACGGTGCAAGGCGATAACCGCTACTCTATCTTCTTTCTTCGACCACTCCATATTTGAAAATGAATAAAAATTAATGTCTTTTTTTATTTTTGGCAAGCGCATACATAATATTTTTAAAATTGGTGAAGTTCATCTAGCCAGTATTCATATTTTTTAAATAATAAGGTTTTGACAGAACTTACGACCCGACTAAATATAGTTTTGTGCTAAGTGAACATGGGACATTGAACCTTGACCGACAGTTCTTAAGTTGTGCAGTGTGTCACTTGTTCTAAGTTCGATTAACGCTGATTTAGTTAAATTTGAAGTTAATTAAATGTACAATAAAGTTGATAAACTACTATAGTGAAATAGAAGCAGAAAGTCTAATTGGTGAACGCCATCGGAGTGATCGAAGTTGTGGAGTCGAGCAGCGATGTGGGCTGCTGGCCGATTACATCGGTGAAGTCAGGTTACACTTACACACTACTACATTTACACTTACATACCACCCACTTGCCCCTGACGGTGCCTTGTGGTCGACCCTACCTCCGGAACTCGGTAAGTTTGTGCTTGCTTATCAGCTATTAGTTGATAATAATCGTCGAGTGTACTACTGATGGGCCCTAATACAGTCGACTTCTGTCTGGGCAACTGAGAGCCGTAACAATTGGAATGTCTTGCAACATCCACCGTACTCCCCGGACCTTGCTCCAACAGATTACCATTTTTTCCAGAATTTGGACAACTTCTTACGTGGAAAAAAATTCAACTCCGATGCGGCAGTCCAAACCACCTTCAAATAGTTTATTGATTCTCGTCCCCATGGTTTTTTTAGTTAAGGGATCAATGAACTACCTATGAGATGGCAAAAGTGCATAGATAACAACGGTGCATACTTTGATTAATTAAATACATTTTACAAAAAAAAAATTGACTTTAGCGTTTTGTACGGGAAATTACCAAACGTAATAAAAATATATAAATAAATAAATAAATAAGTAATGTTCGAAGTATACAAAGCAAACAGCACAGAGCCTAGAATCGATCCTTGGGGAACACCTTTCACAACCTGCTGTGGAGATGATATGCAGTTTTAGCCATTTTCTATTTTTATATTATTTGTTGTGACCGCCCACTGAGATAACTGCTAAACCATTTTAATATCTTGTGATCAAAATCATGATATGCCATTTTCGACACAAGTAATGCCGTATTTAATGTATCAAGTGCCCTAAAATAGTTCAATAGGATGAGCACATTTCCCTGATCTACATCTTGAGATTGCAATATATTGCCCACTACATCAGAAAGCGCAGTAGCAGTAATCCGCCCCCTTCTAAAAACTGATTGAATAAATTATTTTATAGATTTTCAGGAATACTCACGTTGATAAAACTAATTTTATCGATTTTATCGCGTTTAATTAACTTATTTTAATACCCGTCGTTGACTGAAGATCGGATAGAATGGAATTATCTGCAAGATAAACTGTTAGTTGCTTATATACCACTTTCTCATGAATTTTTGATACGAGTAAGCATGGTAGTAAGCTTATGAACCTTAAATCTTTCAAATCCACATCAGGATCACTACACTACACCTGACCACACGAAACATTATAGCCGTAAGCTGCTATTTTACGTTGGTATTTTATGAGAAGCCATGCCATTTTTTAATTAAGCCATAGACATAATTAAAAAATGGCGCGGTTGTCAACCCATTTGCCGAGTGTGGAAACTTTGAAAAATATCCCCATAGTGAGCCAATTAACAATTCTGCATTTTGATTTTCGAAATAGATTCAGGTTTTCACATGGAAGAGCTATGCTGCAGCTATATTGGTAGTGTAGTTGTAGCACGAATGGGTCGGCTTGACCGGGGAAGGACAATGCTCTCACAGAATACCAGGCAGCTTGACACTGCTATGTTTCGTATGTTGAGTGTAGAGAACCGGAGACCCTTTTTACTGGAAAAGAGGCATTCCATCAGTACTCACGGGTAACGACGCATCTGCATTTTGATTCTTTATTGAGAATAAATGTAGATGTCTATGGGTCACAGCAACCACTTACCATCAGGTGGACTGTGTGCTCGTTTGTTACCCTTATTCTATAAAATAAAATAAAATAAAAAAATAAAGCCCTGC